AATATTCAAGTATTGCTATTCGTAACACACCCCATCACTCCTGGCCTCAGTTCTACTTGACCTGCTTCACCACGCCACTGAGTTCGGAGCAGTGCTGATATTGCTGGCGTGGCAGTCGCTTCGCGAGGAAGTCTGCTGCCATGTCACCGTTCGGGCAGTAGGTCAAGTTGACCTTGCCCTTGTCCATATGAGGATCTAGGATCGAGCTCAGAAAAGAGAATGGGAATTGAGTCGAATTGATTGAATCACCTGGGTACAACACGAGGCTATATATAGGCTCAACACAAGGCCCCGTAACCAGGTGTTACGCGAAGGTTCCGCGGGCTGCGTAGCGTCCCGAACAGATCCTTACCGAATTCGGTAGAAGGCAATTCGGTGGCAACCGAAAAGGCCAGAATTCGGTGCACGCAACCTAGCTCGGTGCTATAACTAAAATAAAATATAGGAAAGCACCTAGCCTATGAAATCAAGCAATTCATGCATGCATATAATTATCCTATGCTAGAAATAGCATGGTAAATTAAAGCCAAGAAATCATAGCTCGCATAAGTCGTCGTACTCTCACACGTCCCCCCCTCAAAGCTGGGTGGCGTGAGATACACCCTACTTGACAAGATAGTCCTTGAGAGCACGGCGCGCGTTGCTCATATCAGCTTCTGCAACCTAACGGTCGTCAGCGGAATGGTATCCCTTCCAGCGTATCAGGAACTCGAGGGTCTTGCAGCCACGGCACCGATGAGATAGAACGCCCTCGATCTCGTACTCGGGTTCATCCTGCACAAGAACAGGTGGAGGTGGTGGTAGGTGCCGTCCCTGGAACTGTTGGTTGGGGTCCTTGTAGGGATTTAGTAGCTGCACATGGAAAGCATTGTGAAGCTTCCAAGTAGTAGGTAAGCGCAAGCGGGATGTAACTGGTGTCACCTATGCCTCAACGAGAAAAGGACCACAGAAGCAAGGCCGGAGTTTGGATGGGAGGTGAGACGGGTTCAAGTTGCGCGTGTCAAGAAGCACCTCATCTCGGACTGCTACTGAGTGATCTTGTCGCTGACGATCGGCACACTGCTTCTGGGAGTTCTGCATCGTGTGAGACGTCGCTGAGTCTTTTCCCATAGCTGCTGCATGGTGGTGACGAAGTCATGTGCGGCTTGGACGTGTCTGCTTTGTTGTGTAGCCCGGGCTTGTAGACGATGTTGTAGTGGAAGTGAGTTTCCAGGAAGTCCACCCACCGCACCTGTCGTCGTGAGAGCGTCGGCTGCGACTTCAGGTATTTGAGACTGCCGTGGTCAGTATAGACTATAGTCTTGGCTCCCTCTAGGTAACACCTCCACGCCTTGAAGGCTATGACTATCGCCAAGGCTTCCTTGTCATGGATGGGGTAGTTCAGTTCTGCTCCGTGTAGATTTTTACTGAGGTAGGCGATAGGCTGTAAACCGCGTCCGTGATCCTGCATCAGTACTGCTCCGACTGCTTGGTCACTAGCGTCTGCTTCCACCACGTAGTCCTTGTCTGGATCCGGTAAGATGAGTACTGGCGCTGTAGTCAGTGCTGTCTGTAGCTGCTCCATGGCTAACTGATGAGGGGTATCCCATTTGAAGGGCGTATCCTTTTTCAGTAGGTCAGTCAGTGGCGCTGCTATCTTAGCGTACTGTGACACGAACCTGTTGTAGTAGTTGGCGAAGCCTAGGAACTGCTGCAACTCTTTCACGTTCTCCGGTAGTTTCCACTTCTTGACGGCTTCGATTTTCCGCGGGTCCACATGTACGCCCTCGGCACTCACCATGTGCCTGAGAAACTGCACCTTCTTCAGGGCGAAGTCGCTCTTTGACAGCTTCACGTAGAACTTGTTTTTCCGCAGGATCTCGAACACCTTCCGCAGATGCTCCACGTGCTCCTTCATGTTCTTGGACTAGATGAGAATGTCGTCCAGGTACACCACCACGCACTCGTCCAGCAGGGGTTCTAAGATGTGATTCATCTCCGCCTGAAACGTTGCTGGTGCGTTGCAGAGTCCGAACGGCATCACCAAGTATTCGTAGGAGCCGTATCTGGTACGGAACGCCGTCTTGTGGATCGAGTTGTCCGCCATCTTGATCTGCCAATAACCCGATCGTAGGTCCAGCTTCGAGAAGACTGTTGCACCACGCAGTTGGTCCAGTAAGTAGTCGATGCACGGAATGGGGTATTTGTTTTTAACTATCTGTTTGTTCAGTGCGCGGTAGTCGATGCACATCCGTAAACTGCCATCTGGTTTTGGAGTGAAGAGAACTTGTGCACCGTAGGGAGAGGTGGATGGGCGGATCAGCTGTCTGTCCAGTAGATACTCTATCTGTTTCTTCATGTCTGTCAATTATGTCGGACTCAGTCGGTATGGTGCACGTGAGACGGGTTTCGCACCTGGTTCCTCCACTATCTCGTGATCGTGGGTGCGTGCTTGAGGTACGCCTGCAGGTAGGTCGTAGGGCATTATATCCTTGTATTGCTCCAAGACCTCCTTTACCACTGCAGGGAGCTCGGAACTCGGCTTCTCCTCCTCTGCTGCTGCCATGACCAGTGCTAGGAAACCCGTGTTACTCTCGTTCACCGTCTGTTCAAACCGTCCCAGTGTCGTTGTAGGTACGTCCCCTGTATCCGTCCAGCTTCGCAGTGCTATCCGCTTCCCGTTATTGTAGATGCACACCTTGCTGTTGACCCAATCGATCTCGGGGTTGAACTGCTTCATAAAATCTCGCCCCAAGATAACATCAAATCCTTTGATGTTGGTGACTGGTAGCTTCGGCTTCCACCTCAACGCACCTATGTGCAGCTGCAGTGATGCTTCGCCGTGGATAGGAAGCTTCGTACCGTCCACCATGGTTGCTGAAAACTGGGTCTCTTCCGCCTTCTCTCCAATTTTCTCCAATGCTCCGCGGTCACATACCGAGAGAGATGCACCGCTGTCCACCAGTACCTGGAGGCGTCGCCCATTGCATAACACCTCGAGGAGTAGTGGTTTCTGCTACGCTGAGTAGCCAAAGAGGATCTCGTTAATAGGATCATCTGGTACATCAAACTTAATACCTTTTCTTTTTCCTATACCTGACTCAGCGCTTTCCAACTTCAGTCATGGCTACCCCCAGTGTCCTCACTTTTGATGCTGAGGGCCGTGCCGTTGACTTTGAGGTCTGGGTCGATGACCTCCAGCTGTTTCTCCAGTGCGATAGGGCAGACGGACTCTCTCTGTTCGATCTCACCTCTGGTGTCTCTCCTGCCCCGCCTGCTACTGCTGACAGCACTGTTCGCTCACAGTGGGCCACGCGCGATGTTGCTGCGGCGTCTGCCCCTAGCGGGAGACGCCGCACCGGCAAGGGCAAGGGGGGCAAGGGCACTAAAGGGGCTGGCGGGGGCGGTGGAGGTGGTGGTGGAGGCAGTGGAGGGGGTGGGGGTGGTGGTGGGAGTGGTGGCGGGGGTGGCGGTGGCGGCGGCGGCAGTGGAGGCAGAGGAGGCGGTGATGGTGGCGGAGGGAGCGGAGGCGGCGGAGGTGGCGGAGGAGGCGGAGGTGGAGGAGGCGGCGGAGGCGGTGGCGGCGGCGGTAGCGGTGGTGGAGCGGGTCGCGACTCTGCGCAGAGGAGTGGCTCCGCTGGTGGTCTGCGCCTACAGCAGCGGAGTGGTGTGACCCTGTCCCCTCAGCAGCTTCGTGAGTGGTACACTGCGCGTCAGCGCGGTGGGGGTACTGGTCCCTGCACCTACGTTCTCCGCACCAGCGACCGCGCTGGTGAGCAGTGCGGGGGCCCGCACCCCACCCAGCGCTGCTTCGTCCACCTGACGGATGCGTGGCGTCACTTGTTCTCTTGGGCCTCTGAGATCCCTCGCTAGGGAGAGCTGTCTAGGGCGGGGGTCGCTATCTTTGATCTTGACTTTGATGCTATTCTTGCTGCCATGTATGTTGTTGATGATAGTGTTGTGGGTGACTGTTACCTGTGTGTACCGCCTGACCCGGGCATTGAGGCTACTGCTCTAGGTGCTAGTGCGTCTGCTGCCCCAGGTGCTGGTGAGTCTGCGCTCTAAGGTACTACGTCGGCTCAGGCCTTACACACCTTCACCCTTGACTCGGGTGCGTCCCACTCCTTCTTTCGAGACCGCACCACTCTTACGCCGCTCAGTCGGCCGGTTGTAGTCTCCCTGGCAGACCCCTCTGGGGGTCCTGTCCTTGCTCGCTTCTCCACTGTCTTACCGTGTCCAGCAGCCCCCTCTGGCACCCTGTCAGGTCTCTACGAACTTGGTGAGTGGAGCGGACCTACACGATAGGGGGGTTGACCAGTTCACTCCTGCAAGTCAGCGAGTGACCCACTGCACATGTGCTCGGACAGGCCGACACTTGGCCACGTTCACCCGTCGGCCAGGGTCGAGCCTGTACACCCTTACTACTGAGTCTCCTCCGGCTGCTGAGTCTGGCCAGGTAGCTGCATCGAGCCAGGTGTTTGCTGCAGCGTCCAGGTCTGGTCCTGAGTCTGCTCCCTGCTCGTGTCGTCTACTGTCCCACCAGACTCTCCTCTAGCACCACTGCCTTGGTCACCCCTCCCTACCTCGTCTCCAAGGCATGGCCTCCCATGTCCTTGTCTCTGGTCTCCCTCGGTCTCTCGCTCCTCTACCTCCGGGGCCTGGCCCTACCTGCGTCCCCTGCGTCGAGGGACAACAGCGCGCCGCCCCTCACTCCTCCGAGTTTCCTCCGACAGAGGCTCCGCTGCAGACTCTCCACAAGGACGTGTGGGGCCCTGCCCGCGTCAGTGGGCAGGGGCGCGAGCGGTACTTCCTGCTGGTGGTTGACGACTACTCGCGTTACACCACAGTCTTCCCCTTACACCCCAGGGTGACGTCACTGAGGTGTTGATCGGCTGGATCCGCGGAGCGGGGAGTTTTCCTCTGCCCGTCTGGGAGCCTTCTGTCGTGCACAGGGCATCTCCTAGAACTTCACGCTACCAGCCTCTCCACAGCAAAATGGGATTGCTAAGCGCCGCATTGGCATGGTCATGGACGTCGCTCATACGTCTATGATGCATGCGGCTGCCCCCCATTTTCTGTGGCCGTTTGCGGTTTAGTACGCTGCTCATAAGCTCAACCTTCAGCCCCGGGTCTCCTTGCCAGAGACCTCCCCCGCCTTGCGGTGGACAGGGAAGGTTGACGATGCGTCTGCGTTTCGGGTCTGGGGATCTCGGGCGTTCGTCCGCGACTTGTCTGCGGACACGCTGTCCCCCCGTGCTATTCCCTGCGTCTTCCTCGGTTTCCCCCCTGACGCGCCTGGGTGGCAGTTTTACCACCCCACCTCGCGCCGTGTTCTGTCCTCCCGGAACGTCACCTTTGACGAGTCGGTGCCTTACTACCGTCTTTTCCCCTACTGCACTGCGCCCCTCCCCCCGCCGCCTCTCTTACTTGCGCCACATCCTCCCCCGGTAGACCCCCTCCCCCCTCAGGGTCCTGCCCCGTTAGGTGTGTCCCAGGTAGACGCAGTCGGGCCTTTTGAGGTAGCTGTTGACTCTGGTGCTGCTAGAGATGATGAGCCTGCGGGTGCCGGGTCTAGAGGTGCTGAGTCTGGGGGTGCTAGGTCTGGAGGTGCTGAGTCTAGGGGTGCTGAGACTGGGGGTGCTAAGCCTGGGGGTGCTGGGTCTGGGGGTGCTAAGCCTGGGGGTGCTGAGCCTGTGGGTGCGGAGCCTCCAGGAGCAGGGTCTGCTCGTGTGGCCTCCGGCGGTGCTTTGTCGAGGCGGGAGCCGCTCTCTCTACAGGAGCTACGCGAGTGGTTTGCCCGCCGCTAGAGGTGCTGCTGAGACTCGGCGTGCTGTTGGGGCTACTGGAGCAGGTTCTGCAGGAGCTGCTGGCGGTGTTGGTACTGCTAGAGCTAGAGCTGCTGGGGGTGTTGGCACTGGTGTTTCTACTAGCGTTGGTGCGTCTTGGGGTGTTGCTGAGGCTGCTGGTGCTGAGGGTCCCACTGGAGTTGGTGCTGTTGGAGTTGGAGCTGTTGGGGGTGTTGACGCTAGCGATGCTGCTGACGCTGGTGCTTCTGAGGGTGCTGGAGTTAGCGTTGTTGGAGCTGGAGGTGCTGCTAGCGCTGGTGCTGCCGCTAGGGGTACTGGTGCCATCCTTGCTGGTTCTGGAGGCGCTGCGCGGCCGAGGCCGTACTTCGTTCCGCTCCAGGAGCAGGTTCTTGGTCTCCCGCCCTCTCCTGGTCCTGCTCCTCCCTCATTGTGTCCACCTTCTGTCCAGTCGCAGTCACAGTTCTAGCCCGCCTCCCCTCTTCCAGCTCCTTCTCCCTACACTGGTCCTACTGGAGGTCTTGCTGAGCGTCGTGAGCCTGCGTCTCGTCCTGCGTCGCGTGTTCCTGCTGCTCGCACTAGTGGTTGTACTGCGCGTCCCCGTCCTCCTGCGGTCCCCGGCACACACCAGATGGTGCTGCGTCCTTCCACTGCTCCTCTGCGTGTCGCGTTGCCGTCTCCTCCAGAGTCCTCTCTTCCTACTCTTGCTGACCCGGAGTCTGACTCCCTTCGAGCTGCTAGTCCTTCGGTGACGCGTCTCCTTGCTACTATTGTTACTGACCCTTCCTTTGAGTCCACTGTTGCGTCTGCCCTAGTTGCTGAGCTTGTCGACTTCGATGCTCACTGTCGTCTAGACTATGCTGCTAGTCTCGTTGCTGAGTCTGAGTCTGTCTGTCCTCCGTCCGTCGGGGGTGAGTGTGCTCTTAGCACAGACGTCCTTGAGGACAGGCAGGAGGAGTTCTAGTGCTTTGCTGCTGCTTTGCCCCATCTCGTGTCCACGCTGATTGCCCCCTGAGGGAGACCCGGATGCACCAGACATCCCGACTCCTCGATCGTACGCAGAGGCTCTCACTAGCAGTCAGCCATGGACGCAGAGATGGCCTCCTAGAAGTCCACAGGCACCTACGTCGATGAGGTTCCCCCACCTGGGGCGAACATCGTCTGTGGCATGTGGATTTTCAGAGTGAAGCGGCCGCCGGGTTCTCCGCGTGTCTTCAAGGCGCGTTACGTGGCTCGAGGCTTTAGTCAGCGACAGGGAGTTGACTACTTCCAGACCTTCTCTCCCACCCCGAAGATGACCACTCTTCGGGTGCTGCTGCACATAGCCGCTCAGCGCGACTACAAGCTTCACTCTCTTGACTTCAGCACTGCTTTCCTGCAGGGCAGCCTGCACGAGGAGATCTGGCTGCGCCGCCCACCTGGCTTCACTGGGTCGTTTCCCCATGGTACCCAGTGGAGCCTCCGGCGGCCAGTCTACGGTCTCCGCCAGGCACCCCGTGAGTGGCTTGACACACTGAGGACTACACTTGCGACTCTTGGGTTTGCTCCTTCTACAGCCGACCCGTCGCTGTTTCTGCGTACCGACACCTCTTTGCCGCCGTTCTACATTCTTGTGTACATCGACAACTTGGTCTTTGCCACTCCTGACACTGCTGGACTCGCCCACGTGAAGTCCGAGCTCCAGAAGAGACACACGTGCACAGGCCTGGGTGAACTGCGCAGCTACCTTGGCTTGCAGATCACCCGGGACAAAGCACAGCGCACCATTACCCTGACTCAGTCACACATGGTGCAGCAGGTCCTTTAGCGCTTCGGCTTCACGTACTCCTCGCCTTAGGCCACTCCTCTGTCTACTCGCCACTCGCTCTCAGCTCTGCCTTCGGATGAGTCCGTAGAGTCGAGTGGCCCATACCCAGAGCTTGTTGGCTGCCTCATGTACCTGATGACCAGCACACCACCTGACCTTGCATACCCTCTTAGCATCTTGGCACGCTATGTTGCTCCTGGGAGACACCGACCAGAGCACATGGCTGCAGCGAAGAGGGTGTTGCGCTACGTGTGCAGTACGTCGGGCATGGGGCTAGTGCTTGGAGGGCGACGTCGAGTGGTCCTCACAGGTTACGCAGACGCTTCTTGGGCTGTCGACCAGGCTTTGCAGCAGTCTTCACAGGGTTACACCTTCAACCTTGGCTACGGCTCTGTTTCGTGGCGGTCTACCCGCTTGTCTTCTGTTCTCAGCTCCAGCTGTTTGGCTGAGATCTACGCAGAGGCCATGGCTGCACAGGAGCTACGCTGGCTCACCTACGTGCTGACTGACCTAGGAGAGCCGCCTCGTTCTCCTCCAGTTCTGTACGTAGACAACAAGGCCATGCTGGCCTTGTGTTGAGAGCACAGACTGGAGCACAGTACGAAGCACATTGCTCTCCGCTACTTCCTGGCTCGTGAGCTGCAGCAGCGTGGTCAGCTGCGTCTTGCGTACGTGGCCTCTGAGGCCAACATTGTCGATATCTTCACCAAGGCACTTGCGCCTTGTGATCATCAGCGCTTCTGTACTCAGCTGCGTCTTGTGCCTGCCTTGCCTCACTTGCTTACCTCTTGACCTTGCTTGTACTGTTACATATATATATACTCCTGCTCAATGCATTCATTCTCGTTTCTCATCATGTTGCGCTGGAGTTTCCCGGTCGGTGCACAGTCTTTTTTCGCGGAGCCTCCATTCGCCTCGGTGATTTCCCTTGATGCCGGCAGGTCGTGATGTTTTAGATTCACGCCATCATTTTCTCCTTTTTTCACCCACTCCGAAGTCGCCACGTCGTCGCCTTTTCCTGCTTTTCGGATCTTTACGCAATCGCCAAGTCGCTCCACGGCTACTGGCGATTCCCGTTTTTTTACTTCGGAGGTGCTCCACTGTTTCTGTCCCGGAGTGCCGCACGTGCTTTCTTCATTTTGTAGCACGACAAAAACTGATGTCCTGCTGCGCCGCAAAATTCGCATTTTGTCGGCTGCTGCTTCGCGTCGTATTTGTCGATATCCATCGGTTCGGCGAACGTGGGGGGTGCCGATCTCTCCGTGCCGAATGTACGGTTCGACGTGAAGCGTCGTGTTTCGGGTTGACCTCGAGTCAGCGCGTCGTATCGCTTGGCAGCATGCACGATGTCTTTGTAGCTGTTGTAATTCGCCGCAATCACTTGCCGCCGAATCTCCATTTTTAACCCTTTGGTGCACGCCTGGATTTTTTCGCCTTCGGTCAGGTCGGTGATGCGGTTGAACAGTAACTCCATCTGCTGCGTGTACTATGTTACACTACAGTATTGCTTGTGTCGGTGTATCTGCTGCCGCGCCATGTAGGTTGTATTAATTGGTTCGAAACGCTCGATTAAATCTGCTCGAAACTGCTGCCACGTTTTCTCCCCATGGGCTACGTTGGTGTAGTAAATCCATTCGAGAGCCGGTCCACGTAACAGTGTCGCTGCGAGCCGAATCCTTGCTGCGTCCTGTTGCGGGGTCGAACAGCCAATGGCCTCGAAGTAAATTTCGAGGGTGGCCACGAATCGCCAGACGTTGGATCCCTTCGCGCTTGGATCGAACGCCTCCGGGAGCCTTGGTCGTGCTGCTTCGAGGTTCGGCGACAGTGGTGTCATTGGTCCGTGAAATGTCGGTGTCGCCACTACTGCTGGAGTTGTCGGTGCTGCAGTCACTGCGGTCGCTGCTGCTGCGGTGGCGAACCCCGGTTGGCTTGTCAGAAAAGCCTCGAGTCGACGAAGCGTTGCCTGCGTCTGCTCCATGTCGGTGCGGAGGCTCGCGATGTCGCTCGTAGTCGCGTAGTTGTCGCCTTGGCCCTCCATGCCTGACGTCAACGCGTCCGGAAAACCGTATCGAGGGGGAGCGAAAAACACGGAACAGGTTTTACGTACCCGAAATCGATGTTTGACTGCATCGCTCCCGCAGTTTTTTGAAGACTGGTTTTTAGCGGTCGAAAGAACTTCGCGTGTAAACGGGCTCTGATTACCAAGTGTGAGGATCTAGGATCGAGCTCAGAAAAGAGAATGGGAGTTGAGTCGAATTGAATGAATCACCTGGGTACAACACGAGGCTATATATAGGCTCGACACAAGGCCCCGTAACCAGGTGTTACGCGAAGGTTCCGCGGGCCGCGTAGCGTCCCGAACAGATCCTTACCGAATTCGGTAGAAGGCAATTCGGTGGCAACCGAAAAGGCCAGAATTCGGTGCACGCAACCTAGCTTGGTGCTATAACTACAATAAAATATAGGAAAGCACCTAGCCTAGAGAATCAAGCAATTCATGCATGCATATGATTATCCTATGCTAGAAACAGCATGGTAAAGTAAAGGCAAGCAAGCATAGCTGGCATAAGCCGTCGTACTCTCACAGTCCACCTCATCCTTCATGAAGAAGTACCGCAGCGCAATGTGGTTGGTGCGGTTGACGAAACCAGGTTTGTTCGCGATGCAAATCGCGCTCTGGTTGTCGCAGTGCAGGCGAAAGTTCGTTGAGGCCGGAATTTTTGCTTCCTGCAGCAGTTCCTGAAGGTAGAGACCTTCGCGAACAGCTGCTGTTGCTGCGATGAATTCAGCTTCCGCCGATGACACGGCAACCAGCTCCTGCTTCTGAGAGTTCCACGAGACGGGGCCGCCGGGCTCGAGGCGGAAGAGGAACCCTGTCCTGGACCGTCGATTGTCAGGGTCAGCGGCGTGATAGGCATCCACGTAGCCGACGAGTCTGAAGGATGTGGTTGGGATGGTGGAGTAACTGAGCTTGACATTGGGCGCGGAGATGAAGAATTGAAGGGCTCGCTGAAGATCTGAAAGATTCTCAGTTGTTGGTTTGCGTGAGTACTGAGCCAACTGGCTCGCAATGTAGGAGAGGTCGGGCCTGCAGGTAACGGATGCAAAGAGCAGGCATCCCAACTGCTGCTGGTAAGTGTGAAGCCCAGCAGGGGACAGGGCTTTGCTGTCAGGCTTGTGGTTGGGTCTTTGAGTGCGGTAAGGGGTGGAGAGTGGTGCAGGCGCAATGTTGAAGCGCTTGCTAAGCTCCTCTGCATACTTCGCCGCTGAGAGATGAATGGCTTCCGGCGAGTAGGTGATGTTGAGTCCGAGAAACTGCTTCACGTCATGATTGCAGATGATGTCGACGCGCCCTGCGAGGCTTCTCTCAAACTACTCGCAGTTTGTTGCTTGAGCCTATGTAGAGAAGGTCGTCGACGTAGACCGTGAGGAGGATGTATTCGCCGCGGAAATCGCGGCGATACATTCCAGGATCGTGATGTCGAAATATTTTGTCATGTTTTATAACTGCTTGTAGTTGTAGTTAGTGTAGTTTTGTAAACTGTTGGTGGTGGTGCACCTTATTTGGTTTCTATGCTATATGTACCCTTGAACCTATAGTGAAACCATCTTCATTCTCCAATTTCCCCTCTCAACTCACTCGACACCTTGCCTAGGTGAAAACCCGCTCGATACCTAAGTTCGGGCCTAGGCTACTAAGCCTAGGCCCCACCTCTTAACTCACTTATTCTCTTGACACGTGAGGCAGCTGCTTGTACCCGATTTCAAGCAGTATGTTGTGCAGATACTGCTGCCAGAGTCTCGGTGCCTGTTTGATCCCATAGAGGGACTTGCGTAGCTAACAGACACGTGGGTCTCCGCATCCATTGCTTCACGCCACTCCTTGCTGTGTGGTCCAGAAAGAGCTTCTCGCGGATTTTGGGGCTCGACGACACGTGGCACCTTCGAAGTTGCGGTGTGAAGCCCGAGTAGCTGCAGTCCTGAGGTAGTGCTGTCGTGGCGACGTTGCGGGATGAATTCCTGTACGTCGTCGTCATCGCTTTCTGGTTCAGGAGGCGCAGGTGGTGCTGTGCCTCTGCCGCTTGTGCCTATTCCGCTTCCGCCTGCTGCACCCATTCCTCCTCCCGAGGAATCGTCGTCGTCGTTGTCGTTGTCGC